ATAAAATATTAAGTATCCTAAACAAACTAGAAAACAAGGAAATAAAATATTAATCAAGCTATTTAATTTATTTCTTGCTTGCGCCACAATACGCCTTGCTCGTGTCCGCGTCGCCTAATCCTCGTGCGCCTAGGTAAGTATGCGCGTGCACCTAGTCGCCTGCGCGTTCAATCCCGCGTCCGTCCCCGATAGTGTCGCGCGCGTCGTCCCCCGTGCGCGCGCGTCCGTCCGCATATTGCACCTCGCTGGCACGGCGACTTAACCTCCTTCGCGCATGCCACGCGCGACTTGCTGCATTCTTGAGTCTTCTCGCCGTGTCCGCATCAGCGCCTGCGTGCATGCGCGCAAGCTGCCAGTTCGCACTGGCTGGCTGATGAAGATCGTGTGTTTCGACTGCCGATAAGCCACAAACCAGTGCCTTGAATCGCCGATAGTTGTCTAGAGGTTCACAAACCGCACCCCTCTAAACGATATAATTGCTATAGAATTTTGGTGAAAATACTAAAGCAAAGAAGATGAACAAAAGTTCTTGAGTTCTTATTAATTCTTGAATGATGAAAAATAACATGGGGGGATTGGTCCTTTATATAGGCACCAAATTATATCTAGTCCTAATCTACCTAGGGAAATAATAAGCAATAAAATATTCAGTATCCTCAACAATCTAGATCTCATTATGTAGGATGGAAACAACTTTACTTGCACTCCACTCCAACTCTCTCTCTCTTCGGCCTTTGTACGCGGGCGTCCTACCCGCGCGCCGCCTCCGCCCACGCCCTAGTCCTTGAGGACTAGGGCACCGCCTTTCGCGCGTGCGTCGTCACCCGGCGTGGCCAGCACGCCAACGCCCAGCGCGCCGGTCCTATGCGCGTGTGCTGCCGCCAGTCCGCATTCCTCAAGGAATGGGGTTGCACGCCCCGCGCGTGCCTGTGCGCCGTCCGCGCTTTTCGCGCGCTGCTCCGCTGCGCCCAACATGCGCGCGTGCTGCCCCGCCTTCCCGCATGCCTCGAGGTATGCGGCTTCGTCCGTTGCGCCCAAATCTCGTGCGCCCGACCTTTCCGCGTGCGCGCACATCGACCCCGTGCCACGCAAGCCATCCGCACACGCCGCCCGTACATCCGCGTGCGGCGTATCCACGCCCGTTTCTTGCGCGCTCCACACCAACATGTGCACTTCTGCCGTTGCTCGTGCCTGTCTCTTGCGCGCATGATAAGCCCGACTTGGGGCGTTCTTGAGCTGCCTAGCCACTTCCGCATCATTCCCGTCCCCTTCAAGTGACTCCTTGTCCTCAAGGATAAAGTTCGGGAATTGACCACGTATCTCTTCAAGATCCTCCCACGTGGCTTCTTCGGGCGGCAATTCTTCCCAATAAACAAGCACTTCCCAACGATAACGCCCTGCCCTCTTTACCTTGCGATACTCAATGGCTTGTTTGGGGCGTATGATAGCCCTGCCGTCGGTTGCGGTAGTTGGCATCTCCTCACAGTACTTTTGCGCTTCTCCTAAACTCCTCTTGAGTTGCGAGACATGGATAACAGGATGGATTTGTGAGCTTTCGGGTAACTCAAGGCGATAAGATACTTGACCAATGCGCTTTAGAATCTGATAGGGCCCATAGTAGCGAACTCCCAACTTAGTCGCGGCCCTTTGCGCCGTCGTACGCTGTCTGAATGGTCGTAACTTCAAGTAGACATACTCGCCTGGTGTAAAATTTTCCTCTCGCCTTTTTCCGTCTATGAAGGCTTTGGTTCGATTAATTGAGCCTTCGAGATTTCTCTTTAGCTCACGTAACATCAAATCTCGTTCCTCTAATTCTCGACCAACCTCATCGTTGACGGGACTCCCTTCCGCGTAATTGACCAATGTTGGGGGTTTTCGCCCGTAGACCAACTCAAATGGCGTCATCTTGGTCGACTCGTGGTAAGTGGTGTTGTACCAATACT